GAGGCCACAAAGTGCCCTATGTAAGTTGGCAGGCATCAAACAGTTCTCATACACAGACGCCTGTAAGGAACAGCAATAAAAACTGTATAGAGTTTGAGTCTTCTGATAGTTGTGCTCATCAACGGAGAAGTATTGCTGGAGTACTCGTCTGTTGCGTTTTTATAAATCCTTTCTTTAGATTTTTGTCCAACTTCTTTCCCGCCACTTTTTCTTATGTTCGTGATTCGCCACGGAAAGTTCGTATTGGTCCGTCTGATCTACACGTGATTAATGTTCACCTGTGCCTGGTTAATTACGGAACGCGCAGGCTTTCATTTTTGACATTTGTTTGCCCTATCGCGGTTGATGTATAATCTCGATAAAGGCATGCATTTGCATCGGGGCTGGGCGTCTGATCTGATCAGATAACGCACAGAGTTTCATAGACTACAGTCTCAAGGTTAGTGGGCGTGCAGTTAACGCGGAAATAAGTAGTATGCAAGGAGGCTTATCGGCACCCAGCTCTGTGCTCTCAGACGGTTACCGTAGGCTAGAATGTTACATTGAACCAGTGTTCACGGCATTTAAATGACGGCGTTGTAAATTACGCAAGCATCCGTGCACTGATCGGACAACTGCAGGTGCGACGACCATGGCCGACCCCAAAAAATAGACACCAGATTCCAATGAGTGCAGTGCAGACCGTGGGAGTTCCCTATGACGGTTCACGCATCCGGTAAGCCTACCCTCCACGCCCTTTCCAAGTCAATAGTTGGTAATCCGTATCAAGTCGCCTGGAGTCTCACTGAATCGCCATCACGAAAGTTATCCTCAGTCATCTGTCCTAGCGGCATGCTCGACCCCCACCCCCTCCTCAAATGTGAGTATTGAGAGTGAATCCCCCAACCCACAATGACGCATCGTTTCGTTTTATTCTGCCTCATGGCCAGTTGGTGTCAACAGCTTCAAAATTCCTAAGTTCTATTCGATTTTTCAAGTAAACCCCTCAATTCATATATACAGTATGAGACCCAAATCATGAATGGTGTCGAAATTTACGGCTGATTTTTACTCGCTCACAAACCGACACCAATGCCTAAAGCATGGAAGAATAATTGAAGGTAATAATGTGTTGTTTAGAAAACGTCAAAAAGGTTGTAATTGTGTAAGCTTCATTTTTCGACATACGGAAAGTCTTTCCATACAAAACACTGAATAGGATAAGTGGTGAAAGGATAGATAAAGTAGATGTGATATCCCATGACAAGCAAACAAAAATTCTGAAAAGTGTTTTCTATTGAAAAAACACTTAAGTAAGGTTGTAATATTACATATCGTGTAGCATAATCCCGAGTTATTTCAGTAAGGAGAGGATGCCGATTTTAGGAAGTGCTTCTTTGCTTCCGTCAGTAACAACTCTACTTCGTAAAAGTGGCAACTTTATTATTATTAATTTTTCCCGTTAATTTTAGACCACCTTTCAAAATTCCAATATATTTCATTCAAAACATGATTCATAAAATATCCTTTCTTGTTCTCACTTGATAGTAAATTACGTTCTCAGCAAACTGTGTACATAAAGTAAGGACATTTTTCGATTTGAATAGTTTTCGATGTAATTTGTAAGACAGTGAAATATTCATGCATAAAACATAATATACGCCTATCTATTAATGTTGATTATATAGTAGGTATCGCGGTCCATATCGATGGCAAAATTTTATGAGCCGTATTTAACACTTAAAAAGCGGAGAGAGGTATATGATTTTTCTCACACGGGTAATATACCGTTAGAAGTTCGATCGCGGGGATGCAAATGTAAAGGCTGACCGGACTCAAAAATATTCGGGAATCGGAAAAGTTTTTTAAACCGAAACATACCTTTTCCTCAAGCGCAAATTCAAAGGACTTTTTTACCAGCTGAGAACAAGTAAGAATATCTTTATATGCAGTTCCATAAAATATAATGGAATATATGAGGACGTCGAAAACCAGCGGAAGTTACATACTACTGCAGTAGCGGTCAGACTAGAATATCTGCCTTTACACGCATTCGTGAACATCAAATAGCAGTGAAGTGGCGAGACCACCCGATCCAAGTAGCTATGGATACTCTGGACACTAGGCACGCCATTTCTAGGGGCAGAACTCGGATTGTCGGCGCCTGCCCCTCCAAGAAAGGCCGAGATTTCCTCGAGGCTATGCGCTCGGATGAATCATGCATCAACTGGCACATCGAGTTGATTGCCGCGTACAGATATTTCAGGGAGAAATGAAAAAGATCTGAGCCAACCACGGCAGCTGCCTATTGGCACAAACGCTAATCAATCATCGATTTTAAGTGTATTTAAGATGTTAACTGTTTTAGGACATTGGTTTCTCGTCTAAATACGACCTGCGGGTCCAGCGTCGAAATTATTAACGTCAAATTCCTGTCTCCCAAAGAACATATTTGACGTCAATATGTACATACGTAAAGGCAGAATGGTATTACCGACAAAGTCAAGGGAGACTTAGATGGCTTTTTCTGACTTATTAGCTGTCGTTAACCAGCCATTCCCAACCGCGAAGCGTGGGACAACTGGGGCTCGATCCCGTGACCTGCTAGTTAAAAGTCCAGCGCCTCTAACTACTGAGCCACGGGTTCGTTGTCCTTTCGGTTACAATCGGGAATATACAGTGGTGGAAGGACGCTCGCCGATTCGCTCACCGAACGCATTCACCCCGTTGTACCTTGGGGCTCTCTCTCCAGCCCAGGAGGTCAAAAAGAAGTGCGTTCAAAAGCCGACATCCTGGCGAGTCCGAAATGTTTTAGGGTTAAGCTGCATGATAATCAGTATGACAACCCCACTTTAGTAGTTCTTCCTAATCGGAAACGCATTCCAGAATTTTGGCTATCATTTCATGAGATAGGTCACGCACTGCACATTTCGAGGTTGGGCTAAAAATTCATATCTCTGACATTTAACTCGACGTTCTGCACTTAATGACTTCTAAAATTTCAGCTTGATATATAACCGGAATTCGTATACCAGACACTATCTCACGGCGAGCCGAAATACTCGCGGTTATGTCACGCAGCACCAGACCCAGCAGTGAGACAATGCTTGGGTTTTCAGACAGTATCTATTTTTAGAGTGCGGAAAATCCCCTGTCATAGATGAACATTAATATCGTCGGGAAGACGTTCGCCGTGCAGATTACGCGAAGGACTTGTCAACTGCGCTGCGGAACTCGAACGAAAGTCTTTTGGGCTATTGCATAGCAAAGAATTAACATTTCAAAATTTTCTAGTAATCAGTTTTTATTTTTTGCGTGTCTAGTAACGGTTACTGCGTGTTATCTTCCTGTTTGTGTTGGCATTCGTGTCTCCTATTGCTACTTGACATAAGTGCGGTTGGCATCCAACATAATATGCCGGTAGATGCATGACTCATCAGACTGCATGACTTCGAGAATCCGTCGGCGCTAGTTAGGGCAAAACTGTGGGTTTTGTTCCAAACGGCTTCGTTAGGTAAATTTTTGCGCGCCTTTACTGATGCCCAAGTGCACGTGTGGGACATAATTTCTAGTTTAACCACAATATTCAGCGCTGGAGGCAGCGCATGAAATATTTTAAAGCACTTTTCTCCAATTCACCTAGTATAGGCTGGGTGAGGAATGCATTCGTCGGTTTTATGCACAGCCTGTATTTGAGATTTCTAAAGAATTTGCATGCGTATAGTGAGAGCCGGAGGAAAATAACAACTCGGCCGTCAAAAGTGAGTTCAATTCGTTATACCTGAAGGAACACCAAACGTTGCAAAAATCAGCGAATGCATTAGGCACCCTGCGTGTACACTCTAAGTATACGATCGCTCGTCCAAATAGTTCTACATCCTATTCAAGAATGCTTTCAGGGGTGTGCATTTCAAAGTAAGCGCCTGTATTTGGTTATTCCCACCTGTACGAAAACTAATCAGTTATTCATGAAAGTCTAAGGTTTTCGTCCAGCAAACGCAAAACCACACTACGCGACATCGCCAACATTTTCGTCTTTTAAACATACAATAACTATGACAAAACCTTGTGGCTGAATCTCCCACGAATCCCAGTCAATTGCAGGACGGCTTTCGGGTGCCTTAAACTAAGGCGGGATTTTTTACTTGCCTTGTGTAAGGAAAGGAATCAAATATGATCCCTTCAGTATCCCTGCAGTTGCCAGTGACAATATATTGACTGCTGACTTAATTTCATGAGCCTGGAGTCTGGAGGGAGAGAGAGAGAGAGAGAGAGAGAGAGAGAGAGAGAGAAAGAAAGAAAGAAAGAAAGAGAAAGAGAAAGAGAGAGAGAGAGGAAACCGAGGCTGCAGCATCCAGAAACCGGGTCAAACTGCTCAGTGACGCAATTGCCTAAATGAATTACCGCGTTCATTTGCCCGTTCCTCGTTGCAGAGTGTTTGAGCAACACTCGTTTCTGTCGGCCTTCGGGTTGTAGGTAATTGCTTTAGCCACAATCCTATTTTCTTTGCTGATATTGGCGCATTTTGTTGAAAAATTGTCATATAATCGTCCATTGGCTCCTGCAAATTGTCGGTGTGCTGATTTTTTCGAAATTACGAAAAGTGTGGAGTAGCTTTCCGAAATAAGCATGCAATTATTACTGAAGAGAGGACTTCCGCGTGTAAATGGAGGAGGTGAGCAAATCATAAAATGTACGTAAACTAACAAACAGTCAGTGCGACACGCGAATAGGAACCCTCTCAGGAATAAAGGTGTTCCTACGCTAAATTCCAGGAAAATGAGGGTTGAGGTTTGATTTGGGGCTATGGTTTGAATTAGGACGCAGCAATGTGTACCCTGTATAGCTCACGGCTCCTATTCCCTTGTCCGAAGAAAAACTCTCTTATCACTCGGGCGCCAGTTTAAATGTATCGACCAAAGCAACTGATCAATAACGAGCGGTTTCCAGCTAAACTAAAGCCCGAAAGAAGTATTGGAGGCAATATTACTTTGGTTGATAATTGCAATTTTCTCAAGAAGATGAAAGGTCTGTAAGTTATGGAAGTTCTGAACACGAGTAAGCCCTACATATAAAAGCACATGAAACCTGTCAATACAAATAATTGTGTGATTAAATAGCATTGGCATAACAATGTTCACAGATAACGATTTTTCACATTAGTCGGGCGAATAGCGCTCACGAACTAGTATAGATAAGGACGTCACAGAAAGAGAAGATTTTACAAGGTCAAAAGACGATAGGCCGGTCTCGGACTCAGAAATCGGGATACGATTAATAGCTGTGGTCAGAAGCACGCCTTATTTTGCTTATCAAGCGAACTTTGCTTCAGTAAATTCAATGTATGCTTTTTGATAACAGCGGAGTTTGTTGCTTTCCGGAAATGTCATTGAAATGCCAGTTAATACTTTACGATATTCAGTGCTCTCAGTCGACTGTACAAAGCGAGAGGATCGTTAGTTCACCTTATCGAAACATTGGAAATAAGAGATATTGAAAGCACTTATTTAATCAGTGTGCTTTTTTCTGAATCATTCTTTTATGCAGATGGCCGTTTGGTCATATTTGTAGACTCGACCAGGCATGGAATCTGTTAGGGAAAAAATAGCAGTATTTACAACGGACACCTGCGACTAGTATGCTTCAGATCATTTGAAGAATTTTCACCAACAAGTTTTCTCTGTAAACAGCCCACTACTATAGTATTTCGCCAGTGAATGTGAGCGTATTTCGTAATTTTTAAAGCGATATCAAGGAAGTAGAAATAGAGCATTCGGATCAACCTTTGCGGATTCACGAAAGATATTAACTTTTAGTTGCGGGCACAATGACTTGCTTTTCTTTTTTCATCCCAACCACTTTCGATATGAATTTAAATGCACTAAGCTGCGTTCATATGGATACCGAAATTCGACTGAGACGGTTAATGCCTTGCCTGTTCTGTTTTATCGACCTCACAAAAAGTACCCTGCCATATGTTTAAAAGTTAAGAAGCCGCTGGTGTTGGGCCCCTTCGTTGTAACTAAGGGAATATTTTCATATGACATGTCCCACTAAAACAAATGATCTCTTGTTAGCATTATCTACATGGTAATAGATGTCATGAATTTCTGAAGAAGAAGAAGAAGAAGAAGAAGACGAAGAAAAAGAAAGAAGACGAAGAAGAAGAAGAAAAAGAAGAAGAAGAAGAAGAAGAAGAAGAAGAAGAAGAAGATGATGATGATGATGATGATGATGATGATGATGATGATGATGATGATGATGATGATGATGATGATGATGATGATGATGATGATGATGATGATGATGATGATGATGATGATGATGATGATGATGATGATGATGATGATGATGATGATGATGATGAGAACGCAGCTGATTTTATGAGAATAAAGCATTTTTAGACGTGTTGCATAAACGTATTTATGCAAAATAAACAGATTCGCAAGCAATCAATGGTGGATTTAGTAAATCTGACCCGTAGGGTTTAATTCCCCCAGGAGAAAAGTAAAAATTTGTGGACAAATGTGGTCCGGAACATGAATGTATGCTGACGTTGATTTTCGCTCGCTGTTGTAGATTTTATATTGGTGGGATATCTTAAGAGCATACTTCACACGAAGATAGTGTTTTTTCTGAAAGTGTTAAACCAATAAGTGAGATACATGACTTTTGAGATACTCCAGAGTGATCAAATACATACATTTTTATTACCATGTTCCATGGGTTTTTTCGCGCAGTGCGTGCGCATCGGTAACGTCACAGGAATAGCGGCGTCTTTGAAGGAAATTCTCCTTCCAGCATATGCTCAGGTGGTGTTAAAAGTGACCAAATGAACCATCTTGCGTTCCGTAGACGACGCTCTATCCCGCGCACCACGGATGCCGAAATAGAGCGCAACAAGTAAAGCCGACCACGTTATTCGGACTGAAGGGAGGCTTAGTAAATTCGGGAGTCAGAGTAATCTAGTGGACGATATTTCGAAGAAGGTCGGCTCCTTTGTTCTTATCTGGGCGAGGGCTGAACGGCCACTGTCAGTGCAAGCAGCCCTAGGCAAAAAAAACAAAGCTCAATCCATCAAAAGGAAGGGCGCGGGAAATGAGGGGGAGGGGATTACTCTGGTAGAGATGGAGGAAGGGGGGGGCAAATGTCGCCTTTAGTAAAACCAATCACTGACGGAGTGACCTGACAGTGTGGGAAGGGCGCCGTAGTTCCGAAGAATGTTCATTACGCGGTACGAGGGTGTAGGTAAGGACAGGTGCGTACTTTTCAAGGTGATTGACGTGTCCGAACACGGCGGAGAGATGAAGAGGTTAGACATTCTACGGGCGGGAAAGATTACGTAACTATCTTGGTGTCACCTGCACTAGAGCAAGCTTTTCATCCCTGGTTTTCTAACCTTTTAAAACGGGTAGAGAATGCGAATCTGCTTTTTACACAATATTGTTTTTCGTTGATGAAAATATCTCCTATCGAAAGTCTTACTCGGTATCTGCCGCAGATAACATCTGTGCACGTACTGTCGTCTTACGTGCAAATGCAGAGTTGTTGCGAAGGCAATTCACAACTTTTCTCCTTCTGTCACGGTTTTCAGCAATTTCACGGTACGTTTTATGATTCTATAAGTCGCAAGGTGGAAGAACGGGGAATCTGAACGGTGTGGAACACAGCACAGGCTTAACAGTTTATCCTGCCAATTACATGCATTCTAGAACCGACATCCTGACGAGTTCGAAACATCATAGGATTATGTCGCTTGATAATCGATATTGTAACGGTACGGTACATACTGTACCAACCCAGTATGCGAAAAATCGAGAGAGAAGAAGGAGGTCACTACAAAGGTCTCGCGCTTTCCTTCCCTTGCAGATTCGTGTGACTGGAATAAAGTCCTTCATTAACGAACTGAATGAACGCAATCGCGTCTTCATTGGCCCCCGAACGCACATCGTGGCAGTCCCACGCGACGGCACTGATGGCGACGTGTCTTCGGTGTCGGTCGCACGCAGCGACTTCCTCAATTCCGCGGACGTGCCCATGGAACACAGCATTGACAGCCTGGAACCCAACGGCATCTTCGATGTGGAACTACGCGCTGTCTACGAAGCGATGGGAAACAGACCGGCTGCGGAGACGGAGGCGCCCTGGGAGAAGACCAGCTGTCGCACAAAAATGCATCGTACGTTCATTTTACAGCTCTAAATCCCAGTCGCCATTCTTAAGTACTGCCTGCTTCCAGAATTTCAAATGAAGGTGGTTAGGGAGGGGGTCTGTAGCAAACTTGCGGGAGAGTTCAACAATGTGGTCAATTGAAAGGCCAGCGGAGACCGTGACCTGACGCAACGAAGTGGGAACGGCATTTGTACGTGAGAATGGGTTTTTTTCTGGGAAAATGAGATTTCGTGGGAATTGCAAGATGCCTCCATTTAGTGTGAGAATCTAAGCAAGCGACTTTTTAATGTCTTCTTTGTGTCGTTTTAAGAAAGGCGTAGGATACAAACGCGTCTTCGATTCGGAAGATATCGTTAACCGCACTAAGATACGCAAACGTGCTTCCCCTTGTCGCGAACCAACAAAGTACACTAGAAAGCGGGTTTTATTTAATTCTGATTGACAGTTGGCATCAGGAGGTACGTAGAGATATTTTTACTTCAATAAAACCCTCCAGCTTTGACCGACCCCTCAGTGGCCGCAATCCCTGGCTTCTACCTTCAGAACTGTCTTTGAGTCTTAGGCACCCATTAGTACCGTCCAGAACAGGCTTTATGCTCAGACTACTCATTTGCGTTTTACTAAATAGTGGCATGATAAGCCATGTTTGGTCTTGCTGGCCAACACCACAGACAAAACTTGGACGTTCGGGTTCAGTCTTTCATTTCCGATACGTTTTTGCTTGAAAATCCAGAAACGCAGATAAAATCAGAGAGGTAAGTTGTGCAAAGCAGTTTAAAAAAGGAAGTGCGTTTGCTGGAATAGGAATTTTGTTCACCTGTCCTTTTGGACTCAGCATCAGAAACAGTTAAACAAAAAAGTGCTGGGCGCAAACCGGGTCGGTATTTACGGTCAGTGCACGATTTCATGAAATGCCAACGGAAATACGGAAAAACGTTTTCGACTAGGAGAGATTATTTAGGTGTGGTTGTGATACTGATTATCCTAAAGAATAATCCGTTACGCTGAGATGCCAACTTGAAAAGAAACTTCTTTTCGGCCTCCTGAAAAACAATAGTTAGTAAAAATGACCACTTAAGGGGCATGATTCTATTCATTAATTAGCAAAGCTTTTTATGAGTGTAAATATATTTCAGACAAAAAAAGGCATAAAAAAATCCCTTCTTGCCCTCAGTTGGTGGCACATATTGTCCTTAAACTTTATATTCGAAGAACAGATAGTTTCAGTTTTAAACAATATTAAATATGAGATTTTCAAAAGCCTGCAATGTCCACTTCGTTAGCTTCATAGCAGTGCGTTAAATGTTTCACTGAAAAGTTTTATTAGTACTATGTGCGTTATTTTCCCTCCTGCTATTAGACTGTAATGCCAAACGCAAATGCAACGGTAGATCTAGTCCAAAATTATTCAGGAATGAGAAAACCTTTTCAAAATCTAAATATACCCCTTCCCTAGATGTGAAACTTGAAGGAGATATAATTTTTTACCAAATAAGTACAAAAAGGCGCTTCCGTAGATGCTTTCTATAAAATACATTTGGGCATAAAAGAACATCGAAACCTAACGGGAAAACGTTCATATTAACTACCTAACTACTCTGTAGTGAATTTGAATATTTCAGGCGGTCGGAAAGAAGTTTATTCAGTTACTGCATTCTGCTCCACAGCAGTCAATATTACGACCCCAATTACGCAGTACCTCCGAGTCGAGAAAATGCCCAAAATTTCGGTTAATATTTTATTACCTTGGTCAGTGAATGTATCTACGGTCATCAGCGATGAATGCATGAGCTGGTAATTAAGACATGTGTGTGGTATACTGGCGACTGCGCCCCTTCTGCGTTCATCTCCCCCATCTGTGGCTATTTGTGTTGATGGATTTGGGTGTGAATTAGAAACGACAGGCAGATAAGCTCCGTGCTCCACCAATCGCATCTCTTTCTTCTTAATGCAAACACTCGAACGGAACATCTGCAGCTGACAACTAGGTTTAGCGCGCTCTTTTAAACAAAAAACATGACGTTTGGTCACGCAAAAGGCAGACTGTTTGTTTTCCGTCCGGAAAAGCGTCAAATTAAAGAGTGCGCATATTCGGGCTGGAAAATCCTTCGGATGCTATGCAAACTTCCATTTAGGTGTAACATAAAAAAGTCTCATTTCTACGACGAAGATCCGACGGATAGAGTAGGTGGGCTAACTCAAGAAATGTCAACCGAAATTCCGAAATGCCAATAGAAGCGAAGAGACGAGTCCCAGGAAGTAGTTTTGAAGAAGGAGACACGATCGCCGGGACAAGAGCTTTATTAGCCTGACGTTTCGGATTCCTACTCGAATCCATCATCAGAGACAAAAAGCAGATACGGGTGGTTCATACACAAGGGGTTGCAGTATTTATAGGATGCAGTAGCCATGCTACCGCATACCTATGAATATTTACGGC